AGGATCCATCCTGGAGGTGAGGAACCTGTCTGGGGGGGAGGTCAGGATCAGGTCCCAGGGCCTAGATCCATCCTTGAAGGTCAGGATCAGGCCCCAGAGGGTCAGGACCCAGACCTGGGGGGGTCAGGATCAGGTCCCAGGTGCCTCAGGATCAGGTCCCAGGGTCTGGATCAATCCTTGAGGCTCAGGATCCATCCTGGAGGTGAGGACCTGGTCCTGGGGGGACTCAGGATCAGGTCCCGGGGTCAGGATCCATCCTTGGGGGTCAGGATCAGGCCCCAGAGGGTCAAGAACCAGCCCCGGGGGGAGTCAGGATCGGGTCCTGGGGGGGTCAGGATCAGGTCCCAGGGTGTGGATCCATCCTTTGGGGTCAGGATCCGGCCCCAGGAGAGGATCAGGATCCTTCCTGGAGGTGAGGAACCTGTCCTGGGGGAGGGGGGGGGCTCAGGATCAGGTCCCAGGGTCTAGATCCATCCTTGGGGGTCAGGATCAGGCCCCAAAGGGTCAGGAGCGGGTCCTGGGGGGTTCAGGATCAGGTCCCAGGGTCAGGATCAGGTCCCAGGGTCTAGATCCATCCTTGGGGGTCAGGATACATCCTGGAGGTGAGGACCCTGTATTGGAGGGAGCTCAGGATCTGGCCCCAGGGTCAGGATCTATCTCTGGGGGTCAGGATCAGGTCCCAGGGGGCTCAGGATCAGGCCCCAGGGTCTAAATCCATCCTTGGGGATCAGGATCCATCCTGGAGGTGAGGAACCTCTCCTGGGGGGGGGCTCAGGATCAGGTCCCAGGGTCAGGATCCATCCTTGGGGGTCAGGATCAGGCCCCAAAGGGTCAGGATCAGGTCCCAGGTGGCTCAGGATCAGGTCCCAGGATCTGGATTTATCCTTTGGGGTCAGGATCCATCCTGGAGTTGAGGACCCTGTCCTGGGGGGGCTCAGGATCAGGCCTCAGGGGGGTCAGAATCTATCTCCGGGGGTCAGGATCAGTCCCCAGGATCAGGATCGGGTCCTGGGGGGGTCAGGATCCATCCTGGGGGGGTCAGGATCGGTCCTGGGGGTGAGGACCTGCTCCTGGGGGGGTCAGGATCCACGGTGGAGCCACTTTCCTCTTGTTCCTGGATCTTTACGAGCTCGTGGTTTTCCAGCCGTGTCTCCTCATCCCCGTCTCCGTGGCCACTGGGGGTGGCTCCAGAGGGACCAGACCAGCTCCTGGTGGGCTCTTTGTCACCTGCTGTCCCCATCCTTGTCCCCGCAGGGTCCTGGGCCATTTCGAGAAGCCCCTGTTCCTGGAGCTTTGCAAGCACATGGTTTTCCAGGAATGCCAACAAGGTGACTACGTTTTCCGTCCCGGACAACCCGACACCAGCATCTACGTGCTGCAGGATGGGAAGTTGGAGCTGTTCCTCAGCGAGCCGGTGCGGGGACGGGGACGAGGAGGTGGCAGGGGGTTGGGGACACCCTGGCAGGGGGTTGGGGACACCGTGGCAG